AACTCTTTAAAGTTATAGAAGGTTTTTATATTAATGAGAAAATCAATTTATCAAACCATCCTAATTGCTAAATGTTGGTGTCTTCAAATATGTACCAAAAAAATTGAATAATTAAATTTTTATTTCTTTTTATTGTTTGCCAATAGCCAAAGTAGCCCATTTCAATTTAGCTGCAGTTCAAAAAAAAAAAGAAAAAAGAAGTAGCCTATTTCATGAGAAAGTGCTACAAAAAGAATTGAAGACGAAATTAGTCAAATTACCAGACTGCTGGCTATCGTATTTTCTTTTCTTCTTTTTTGAAGTAGGCAAAAGCCTATGTTGAACCCTTAAACTTATTTTAGATTTTCGGTTAAACCCATAAATTTTTATTAAAGTAAATAAACGCTTAAACTTGGTAATTTAAATAATTTAATTCTCTTTTTTTATGATGGACTTTATGCTTATTTATGCCTTATTTGTGTGGACAAAATATTAACATGTTATTATTTATATGATAAGTATTGACTTTGTCTACACAAATAAAGCACAAGTGAGCATTAATTTCAACTGTAAAAGGATTAAATTTTTTAAATTGCTAAGTTCGAAAATTTATTTACTTCAATAAAAGTTTAAGAGTTTACTTAAAATTTTAAAGTAAGTTTAAGGGTTTAATGTAATTTTCTATTCCTTTTCCACTTAATGCGCACTCACGCGCGCACCAAACCGCCTTCTTTACACTAACCATCGTGTAAATATGCAACGTAAGACTATCTTTTGAACTGATATGCAACGTAAGACTTAGCTGTAAGATAACTCAAAATATACATTATAAGATTATCGATTATTTGGTTCAGGATACATTTACCGTCCACACTATAAAAATTTTTATTTGTCTTCTGGCCTTTTCTGTCAGAACAACGTATATACAATTCCATAAGTCTTTTTTACTAGAATAAAAAAAAAGTCTTTTTCACTTTTTAAAGGAGTGTTTGATTAATTGTGTAATTGATAATTGATAGTTAATATTTTATAATTGATTATTTTTGTTATTTATATTTTAAAATATTTAATTAAAATTAATAATTAATAACTATTTATAAAACACTCAAAGAAACACTTTCCTAAGGATATATTTAGAAACTTAAATTTGTATTTAAGGAATGTATTTTAAATATATATTTTTAAATTTATTATTTAGATTAATATAATAACAATGAATTTAGTATTCAATTTGTTCATTAAGAAAAAGAAAGGAGTCAAAATATATAGATCTAAATTTGAAATACAAGAGGTTGGAGGATATTTCAAATATACAATTTAAAGTAATAAAATACTTGAACCCAATTACATATATTTGGAATAAATTCAATTACGTACTTATTTTATAAAAATAAATAATGATATTAAATTTAAAAGGTTCAAATTTAAATATACTGTATAAAAATTACATTCTCAAACATATTATAATTATTACTCTTCTTTTTTTTTTTTTTAACTTTTTTCATATTCTCAAACATACTATAAGTCTTACTCTTCTTTTTTATTTTTTTAAACCTTAAGAGTAATCATGTAGTAATTGTGGCATTTGCCTAAATTCTTTTAGGACTTGTTTGTTTTTGAAAGAAATGGAAAAGGTGGAAAAGGATATTGTTATCCTTTAATTTCTTGTATTTGGATATGTTAAAATTTATAAAAGAAATTAGAGAGCAAGGGAAATCCCTACCCTCTCCTCTAATTTTTTTTATCCAAATAATAAATATTTTCTTCATTTTCTTCTTTCCTCTTAAATCAAATAGATTTTCTTAAAGTGCACTTCTATTTTTTTAATAAATTAACAATAATAACATAATTATAATGTTACATATAATTATAAATTTATAATTATGATATATTATTAAATACGTGAATATATATAATATCGTCATTAAATTATTAAATAAAAAGATTTAATCATATAATGACAAATTATAATTATAAATTTATGATGTCATGAGATGCTATAATTATATATTTTTAATAAATTAATAATAATAAACCATCTCTCAAAAACATTAAAGTAGTTGAAAATTTGAGTGTACATGTTAAAAAGCAATCTAAATTTTAATCTTGAGATGAATAATAAGACACTTGGAATTCAAGAACTATATAATCCATCATGTAGAAAAAGAAAAATTATACCATCTCCGATCATGTATCCAGCGCCACCTATCCTCAGCTGACAAACTTCTCACAATTATTGAAGAACTAGAAGGAAAAGCCATTCTTAGGAAATGCTGGAACTCCTTCATCCCCAGTAAGGTTTGTTCTCTTTATTTTATTTTATTTTATTTATTTATTTATTTATTTTTGGTGATACATAACAGGCTAAAATAATAACATTAAAGGCTTGTTTGATTGGTCACTTCTTTAAAAAAATTTTAAAAAAGTTGATAAAAAATTCAGTTGGCTTGAGTTAGAATATTAATTTTTTTACATAAATTGAGATACACTATAATTAATTATAAAAGGAAAGATAATGGATTAAATTTGTAATATAATTGATTATGTTTATGTTCGAAAAATAGGTAATTATACTAATATAATTGATTATTTTTCTTTGTAATTAATTATATTCACTTTTATGAATAAAAACCCCAAAAAAACGCTTTCTAGTAAGAAAAGTGTGATTAGATTCATTTCATTTTCTTACATAATCAATTATGTTATATCTCAATTTATGTGCTAAAAAAATTAATATCCTAAGTCAAGCTAATTGAATATTTGATCAGATGCTCCAAATTCTTTTTTCAAGAAAGTGATCAATCAAAGAAGCTCTAACTTTAATGGAACAAAGCCCCTATTGTGTCCTCTTGAAGGATTGGCTTTATTCCTATTGGTGGTTCCTCGAAAACAGTTGTTCCCCAGTAAGGTTTGTGCTTTCTCATGGTTCTTACTGCAAGAGAGGATACCTTGCAAAGTAGATTTGGAAAAAAGAAAAAAATAATCCAAAATGAGAATGAGGTCACTTGCGGAATTTGTGTACTAGACATGGAGGATGTGAATTACTTAGAGTGTATTTGGTTTTTAACTTTTCTAGGAAAATAAAATTTGGGAAGCCAATATCAAAATTATTAGCTTGGACTCAAAATCTTACATAAAAATAAGAAAAAAGTTATAGTTGGTTATAACAACTTATAACCAATTAGAATTGATTAAAATAAAAAATAACCAACTATAATGCATTATATAGTTGGCTATGTTGTCTGAATTTCAATTCCAAGCAAAAGATACAAGAAGAATGCTTTCCCTAGAAAGTTTATTTTCCCCTTATAACCAGTCATATTTAGTTATAGTCAATTATAATGCTTCATTGGATTTTTGTGTCTGGAAAAATTTTTCTTAAGCCAAACCTACTCAAAATATATGCGGATTCATGGGTTTTATTTTCCTAAAATGGTTAGAAACCAAACACACCCTTAATGTTTCTTTGTGAATTCTCATATACTATACGGATGAAATGCTTTTGGCGGTGGGGATTCAAATATTGTCATACATGATGAAGTCAGAGTAGTCTTATTCATCATGTTGGGGCAGCAAGGAATCAAAAAGGTGGTTAGCTGTCTGGTATGCGGCAGTTTGGTTGCTCTGGTTGGCAAGAAATGGTGTGTTTTTAAAGAAGACCAGTTTACAGTAACCAAAGTCGATCTTATTTTTGGATTAGGGATGCCTTACTCATTCAGTGATTGATGCAATAATTCTAGGAGGTGTTTGATTTCGAAAATAGTAAAATAGCAGGAAAATAGTTGTTCTGTGTATGAGATGAATGCTCTCCTTGTGCTCAATAAAAGTTTTTGATTTTGGCTTTTAAAAAAATATAAATATTTCTTCTAATGTGATTTAGTTCCCAGGATATAGATGAAATATCATTAGTTTTATATTTTATTAATTATATAAAAAAAATAAAAATTTAATTTAATTTTATTAATTATTTAATTAAAATTTTAGTTAAAAATAAAAGTTAATTTT